CCCCCTCACCCCCGCCCGGCCCGCCACGACTTGACTAGTAGAACCCCTACGAGCACACATTGACTTCTACCGAGACTTCTACAAACAGTCACGGGGAGGGTAATGTCTCGAAGGAAATACACTTGAGTCGAAAGGTCTAAAAGAAGCAAACTGTCTCCTCGATACGGTCAAAATATGCACCATGGTTTGTCTCTGACAGTTAGGCTTAGTTTTATGTTTTACCATTCCTCACCCCTCCCCTGTTGCCTTGGATGAGTGGTTGTAGGCCACCCGATAAGGTTAGTTTCTAAGGGATAGCGGCACTGGGCGGCTACAAAAATACAAATTTAAAGTTGAACGCGCTACAACTCTATTCTGAAAACTCAACAATGTACACTGTATGCTCATATATCAGCAATCACCAATGATCACGTTTGGGTTTTTGGCTAATATTTCCTTTCAGACGGATATCATCGGAAAGTAGATAGCATTTCCAGATTCCTCGCGAGAAAAGCTTTCAAACGAGCTTCTAATGTGATAGGGTTCACTACCGAAATGATCCGCCTCTCGAAAATGTCGGTATTGTAAACCAAGTTATGGTAGCGGTCAATTTGAACCCTATAACTATAGTCCCCCACCCTTGCACCCTTAACACACACACAGACACACACACACAGAGACAGACAGACAGACAGACAGACAGAGACACACACAAACACACACACGTTCTCATTGTCGAACACGACGTGCAAGTTGCGCGTTTTGACGTCCCTCCGGACGACATAATTTCATTTTGAGCCCATCAGGGGACAGCGCCTGGCGGCAGCATCCTGCGTATTCCCGGTCTTATTCGCGCGAGTCGCTTTTGACTTTCGAAGTGATAAATCTACTCCCGTGATTGAAAGGGAGAGGCAGCGGGAGAAGTAGGGGGAGGGAGGGAGGGAGGGAGGGGGTTGTGGCCCGGGGAGAGGGGCGAGTAATTGCCGTTGCACAGGAAAGTCAAGTTTGCCGCAGTGACGGTGCAGGGGAGGGGCGCGGGGGATAGGCGGGGAAGGGATAAGAAAGTGTGGGGCCAGAGTGGTCCTCCCCGTGACTGTGACCCCTCTTGGTCTGCAAGGGCAAGGGACGAGGCGAGACATGCGGCGCCTCGCACCCCTGGACCCTGGAGAAGGGAGGAGCCCAACAACTGTTCTCATAAGCCCCAACCCCCTTCCCCCTCACAAAAAAAGAAAAGAATCCAACCTCCTCCCACCTTAAAAAATAAAAAAAATCAGGACGGAAAAAAACACGAAAAAAACTAAAACAAACTCTGATTGCAAATGGGTGGGGCGAGCCCCTATGACAATCTCCGAGGATGATCCCGGGTCGCCATAACGATTATGGGGGAGCCGAGAGTAGCGTTCCGCAAAAAGGATGCAGCAGCAGAGGGGTCTCGTGGGCGGGGACGATTTTTTATTTTTTTGCCCTTTTTGATGTTGTTGTTCCTCGCTGCTCGCGGCGACCACTTAGCTAAACGAATCCCCATAACGTAAATAGTGATGCGGTGTGCACACAACACGGCACGGGGTCGCGCTCATATCCAGAACAATGGGCTGCCAAGTGGTGGCGGAGGGAAGGGGAGGGGGAGAGGGGTGAGTGAGAGGGGAGGGAGGGTCACTCATCAGGGAATGGGAATGGCCGCATGGCAGCGATTGTGCCAACACCATCACCCCCCAGCGCGCCACGCACCATTTCAAACCGTTTAAAATCCCGTAAATATGGCCCACGAGTGTTGGTTGTTGAAGGCCGCCGACAAGCTTCCCTCCTACTATGCAAGTTTCTACAGTTGCTGACCCCATCACAGCGCCTTACGGGGGCGAGTAGGCAGTCCTCCCGCCTTCCTGCATGCGGTACAACATAAGTGCGCGGGGTTAGTCCGCGCATGGTTGCTCCACAATGCGCCACGCGGATGGATTCCTGAAAAGACTCAAGTACACATGACCAACACGATCGATGGAAGGTAACGGGAGGGAGAAACTCAAGCTCCCCTTGGCTGCATCAGCTTAAGCGGGAAGCAGACAGCAAACAGCAGACAGCAGATAGTAAATACCGATGATTTCAAAACTTTACGTCCAATTTCGTTATGAAATCTTATTTTTATCATTCAAATATT